GAGCCCGCGAAAAGGAAAAAATTAAAAAACGGCTAGACGCCGTACCAACTCGTGACAGCTGGTGAGTCAGAGAGGCTGTGTCAGCGGAGCCCAAGCTGTGCTGCGCACTGCCGCCCATCTAATCTAATCGTGGAGTAGATAGCAATGTGTCCATATCAGGCATGTAGTACAGAGGTTGCGGGTTCGAGCCCGCGAAAAGGAAAAATTAAAAAACGGCTAGACGCTGTGTCAACTCGTGACAGTAAACCTACTCTGGAGACATATCCGAGGCATCAACATGGGCACCATTATTCCTGATCTCTGCTTGTTCATTCACAGCATGAGATGCGACCTGGGCATTTCGGGTTTGCTGCTCTTCATCAAGTTCCCGCTCGATCCTGCACAATGTGAGTACTTCATTGAGTATAGTAACATGACTCACATACGACTCGGCTGTTATACCGGTGAACTTATATATCTTATCCATTTGCACGAGAAACTGATACATCCAGGGATAGCCTTGGGGGATCCAGCTGGCACAGTGTGCCAATGCCTTAACGATATCCCGGTTAAACAGGTCAGCAGCACTCTCAGCAAGGTTTGTGCATGCATTCAGAAGCCAGGAGAGCGCATGCCAAGCCTGTTCTTTTATGATCTTGCGGGCTACCTCGTCGATGTCGGATGAGCTAAAGTACCCGGACACGATGTCCAGCACATATGTCACATCTTCAAGGATCTGAATAAAGCTGGAAGAAGAGTGCTTGGCGGAGGCAGAGTGTGTCAATGCAAAGGATGCAATTTTGAGAAATGTGTCTGCGCTAAGGTGATCACGGGCAGTTGGCAGGTATGCGAGTAGTTTCCGAGTGTCTGGCAAGCATGATGTGAGTATGTGAGAACAATGACTGAACTTGATTTGTGGTGCATACATTCAATGTTAAGTGAGAAATACCGGTCTTTGAACCAGACCCAGTCTAAAATCCTGTTAGTTAACTTCTCAGTGCTCTGTGTCGTGCACAAGATGTCAACCAGTCGTGTGTAGACCGATTGATTATCTTCACCAAAGCTGAGAGCGTGGCTGACAACATCATGTCTTGAAAGACATTCGAGCAGATCTATTGCCCGTGGATGCAAAGGCGACTTCAAGAGCAGATCGAGAATGAGATCTGCAGCAGCAGCAGAAGTCTTGCTGTCCATGTTGGAAGTACTGTCCAATCTTCGCGCAAGGATATTGTAGAATGGGTCCAGATCATTGTTCTGCACTCGTCCTGGCAAGGCTTTGAACCCGGCGGTAACGACGAATTCTAGAAAACAAGCTTGCAAAGTTGTGAGTAAGGCCATCGCTGTAGTTGACACCCACATACCATCTGCGCCATTGTCGAGCACCTCTATGCGGGATTCATGCAGCGAGAAAGGACATGAAACAGCCCATTGTATGAAGTGTGTGGCACGTCGACAAAATGCTCTGGATGAATCAGTGGGTGGCATCGCACGGATGAGTTGCAGAAGATGGTCGCAACTATGGTCATCAGTGTACCGCCAGGAGTTCGTATATTTACGAAAAACATCGAGGCAGAGGTCTCCCATGGAGATGATGGCGACGGAATCTTGCTCGCTGGTGAACCATTGGCATGTTGACCAGATGCTGTTATCCCATCTATTCCTCGCTTCACCTACTTTGTGCGCTCGATGACGGAGGATGCGATGGACGACGGGAAGAGCAGATTCCAGGGAGCTCTGCTGGAGGCATGGGCGCACAACTTTGGACAGGAAGGCGTCGTCCATGATCAGCTCATCTGCTTCGGCAAGCATCATCAGCTTGTCCTCCTCCTTCAACACCTCAGCACGAGCAAGCTGATTTTCGAACTCCCGCCAGTTTCGCGCTGTGTGAGTATCGGATTGCCACTTCCTCCAGCGACGGAGGGCTTCAGGATTCCACGTCTTCCATTTCTGGTATGCGGTGCGAGCGCGGTCAAAGAGCTCCCACGGCAACAGAGCTATACGCAGTATCACTGCGCTGGAAGATGCTTTCCAGTTCTGAAGTACAGCGCGACCGCGGTCAGAGAGCTCCCACGGTAGCCCAGCTATGCGCAGAATCAGCGCGGTGGCCCATGGACGCTTGGCTTGCCCAGACTGTCCAAAGCGAGTGACTCGCCGTAATATAACGAAGCATAACCATGCAGCTCTGGATTTGTAAGGGCAGTCCGCGAAGAAATATGGCAAGAAGACGGTGATCAGCGTTGGTAGAAGGAGTATGATAACGAGGACAGTCACGATGCCGGCGACGACATGATTGAGTGCCCACAGAAGCTCCAGAAGGCCGACAAGGAACAGAGCCAGCGAGATCTGGAGGAGGATAGGGAGGAGGTCGATGATGACTCGTACATGCCAATTCTCTAGACTACGACGACGATAAGCCCAGATACGGACGCTCTGCCGCGTCATGCTTGAGGCGCGATCCGTGTGGTGGTGAAGCCATTGTCCGACAGCGATGCTAATCGACGCAGCGCTCAGACTGAATATCAGCGCGATGAACCAGAGCACACCAGTGGACACGGTAGACGTCGTGGGACGGATGATAGCTGATGCTGCTTGGAGTACCGACTGCTGCGACTGCGTCAGATTACTATGTGCGATGGCTGCGGTGAGGACGCTGAGCTGCATCGATACTACGATGAGGACCTGAGTGGTCGTGTCCGGAGTGGTGGGTCCTAACAGGAGGTAGAATGCGACAATGAATCCGGTCAGGATGGTCGAGAACAAACCCGCCTAAAATGCCATGTGAGCTATTGTAAAGCACTGTTAGGTCGCTCATTCCAAACTCACAAAGAGTAGGAGATTATTGATATTCTCCTTCCACTTATTGATCTGGTTCTCCTCGTATTTCCACACCTCCTCCGCACACAGACTCCAAGGGTCTTCCTCGTCCTTCTCCCTTCCCGACTTGTATTCTGTAGGCCGTAACATCCCCTGTGGTCCTCGAGCGTCCGCGGTAGTCTTTACAGTTACCTCGGGGTCGTTTTCTGCAGGTCCTGGCCGCTCTCTGGACTGTTATCAGATGCATCAACGATAGTATTCTGTGTGCAGCCATCCAACATACCGCGTCTTGCTGTTCCACCTGCTGGTTCGTATTGGCCTATAAAACGATTATCAGCGTGGTTCACGGAATATCGTCGCGAGGAGGTACAGGAACATACCCTGACGTCACCTTCGTCTATAACTCCACCACCGCCTTGCAAGCCTTCTCCACCGCCTACCTCTGACTGTAATCCTACGCTCTCAGTAGGGCGAGGGAGATTCCCACGCGTCGCCTCATCTTCCAATGCAGCCTCCACGGAAGCTTGAGCGTGAGCTATAGCACTCGATGGACCCTCACAGCTGCGACGTTCAGACTGAACGCGTGTTTCGGCCGTTCGATCGTCTTCGATGGATTTGCGATGGAGTGAGGCGTCCCTTGTGCCAGTCTGGATGAGAGATCGAATTTGAGTATCCCGTCAAGCCATAACAGTGGGTGCACTGAAATACCTGTTTCTCAACTACGCCGTCGAAATTGCCTTGGACTCCATCGCCGACTGAGGCAGACACGCCTCGCGACGTTGCGTTGTTGTCGCTAGCGTAAGGGATATCCGAGGCACTATACTCACTGTGGTGATCCCCAGCGGTGGTGTTGCCGTCTGCTTTGTCCTCAGGATCAGGTTGCACATTCACTCTGACTGAGGATGCTTTGCTTTCGCGCCGTCGGGCCATTCAAGCTAGTAAGTGCTGCAAGGACAAGCAGTGAGTGGGAAAGAGGAAGGAGTGGGATCGGGAGAGACGCGTACCGAGACAAGGGTATGCACAAAACACGCCGTCACAGCACCGAGCTGACAATTCGACGACAGCTATGCAGGGAAGGTGGTTCAGTGGTCAAACTCTAAATGTATTCGCAAGGAACGAGCGCCGTCCTTCTCGAGGTTTGCAGAATCTCCATTCCTGGGCGAAGAGCGCATCACGACCGCCGCACCCAGAGGATCGAAAACACACAGAGGAGTGTTCACGACAAACTTACGCGTCCTGTGCGCTACTACCGGAGAACTCCTGTTTGGTTTCACGGGCACTCAGAAATCGTTGTGATCTGAAAGTTAAGTGTTAAGGTTTGATCTGACTGCACATGTGATCGTCCTATCGCCGCAGACATGAAAGTTCAATGCGCCTTCGGTGATAATGGTCGCTGACCATAGATTAGCTGAAGTGTTCGCCGGCCTGCAGCGTATGCTCGAGGGATGAACAGCAGCCTCGTGTCCCTGACAAAAGGAGTTGCGTCGGTCACAGAAATTCATAAATTCATAAATGGCGCCGACGGGATACACAATGTAAACGAACAGCAGGAACACCTCGGCGCTGACGCGAATGAGCAGTTCGAGATCCGATCGGAACATGCAATACCGCTTAGACGCATGGTGTCTCTCGCTGGCAACCTCCATGCCGTGCATGCCCGATACAACTTGCCCATCTTGCGGACCTTGACGACATGCACGAGTGGCGTTGGAACGAGAGATCGAGTACTGCAACGCAGAGGCTTGAGGGCTGAGCACTTCAGAAATCCCTGTTGAACTTGAGATTGTGGCGAGCGCATGCCACCGTATTTGGCATTGTTTGTAGTACCTCGCAGACTTTGTGCGAGCTGTCCTGTATGTTCCTTACGCGTTTGACAGAGCTCAGACAAACGCGATATATCTTTGTTGATCGTTCTCGCTTTGGGTCTCGGACGAACTTAACAATCCCAATGATATAAAACTTCAGCATAAAGGGACAATGCACGAGAGGTCATTGCGTTGCAGAATTCTGGAGAGATGCGATGAATCAATCTGGGAGGGGGGTCAACTTTGGTGCAAGCCAATATGCTGAACAACGCTTGCCACTTGCCCATTGCGAGGGTGGGCCTGCATACACGCTACGGCTGCACCACGGGACAACTGCGTGATGAATATATCTATCAAATACTGGCCAATCTGCAGATGGACCACCATGGAGTTCAGCAGGGCACGGATGCATGGGACATTGAAAGAGTGAAATGCGGGGGAATTTACACTGCAGTACACTAAAGTAGCACATTGCAAGTTTTGGTGTTATGATGGGAAAGGTGCATCAAGGCGGACCAGCTGATACATATAGTGCATGCCAGGTCAACATGCAATGGTGGCAAGTCTTCCTGCGTCAGATTCCTGTAAACTTGTTGAAACATGTAAGTGTCATGAGTTGACACAGTGTCTAGCTGTCGCGACTTAAGGTCAAGCAACAGAGGAAAACGTAAAACAGCTAGGGGCGTTTGACTGGTTCTCACCAAAGCAATGGTGAGCAGCGCTCAAACCTAAGGCTAGGGACAAGTAAATGCATTAGTTAGTAAGGTAAGAAAGGAATACAAAGGAGGGCTTACTGACCTAGGGACAAGAGGTCGAAACTGAGGTCCCTAGGGTAGCAGAGGCTGGCTTATATACATGGGGAGATAAGGGCAGGCTGTGCACGCTGGTCCGTGCGCAGCTGGTCCATGCGCAGCATGCCAACGTGGCCCTGGGGGCTGGTGAGTCAGAGCGGCTGTGTCAGTGGAGCCTGAGCTGTGCCGCGCACTGCTGCCCCATCTAATCTAATCGTACAGTAGATATGATGCATCCGTATCAGGCATGTAGTACAGAGGTCGCGGGTTTGAGCCTGCGGAAAGGAAAAAATTAAAAAAACGGCTAGACACTGTGCCAACTCATGACATTACCCCCCCCTCAATGGTGCATGACCTCATGCGAGGCGCCCTTGCCCATCTCCCACCCAGAGCGGCAGCGTGCTTCTGTCAGCAGCAAAGGCATCGGCTGGAAGTTGAGACCACCAAAGATAGTGGCATTGAGGCAGCGAGGGGCGTTCGGATTCTTCTGGTGAAAGTCGGCTATGAGGGCCGGCGCATTTGCAACATTGAGCGCCGGTTCCCATGACATATGCAAATTGTCATAACCCTTCCACTTGATGAGGTACTGCAGCTGACGCCGGAAGATCCTTGAATCCTTGATCCGCTCCACCTCGTACTCTTCGTTGCCCTCAACCTCGATCGCAGGCAGCTCCTCCGGCTCCCGGCCCGGGATATTGCTACGTGTGTACCTGCTAAGCAAGGAGACATGAAACACCGGGTGCACCGGCACCGACTTCGGCAGGACTAATTCATAATCCAAGTCTCCGAGCTTTTGCCGCACGGCATAAGGTCCGAGGCGCTTGGGACTGAGCTTCTTGCTCGGCTGTTTTAGCTTAAGGTTCCGGGCGTCAAGCCAGACCTTGTCCCGCGGTGCGAAGACCGGTGCCTTTTGCACGTGCTTATCATAGTACACTTTCATGCACTTGGCTGACAGCTTGTCACGACTTGGTACGGCGTCTAGCCGTTTTTTAATTTTTTCCTTTTCGCGGGCTCGAACCCGCGACCTCTGTACTACCTGCCTGATATGGACGCGTCACTATCTACTGTACGATTAGATTAGATGGGGCGGCAGCGCACGGCACAGCTCGGGCTCTGCTGACACAGCCGCTCTGACTCACCGGCCCCCGGGGCCGCGTCGGCATGCTGTGCACGGACCAGCTGCGCACGGACCAACGCGCACAGCCTGCCCTAATCTCCCCATGTATATAAGCCGGCCTCTGCTGCCCTAGGGACCTCAGTTTCGACCTCTTGTCCCTAGGTCAGTAAGCCCCCAGTTGTATTCTCTTTGCTTACTTAACTAATATACTATCTTGTCCCTAGCCTTAGGTTTGAGCCTAGCTCACCATCGCTTCGGTAAGATAAGTCGAACGCCCCCAGCGTTTGGTTTTCCCCTGTCGCTCGACCCTAAGTCGCGACATTAGGTCGAAACTCCTCAACGCTGCCGGCGTTCCAAAAACAAACACTCATCTTTCCTCTCCTATAGGTTGGGTGGTGCGCACCCCTACTATACCCTACGATACTTAGATAGCCTACGATACATCGCCACCACTTAAGGGACGAACTCTTCGGTATCTGCACTTCAGTGGGCGATACTTGTCCTCACGGACGCGTGGCTTAGGTTCCTGCTGCATACTAGCCAAAAGCAGTACTGGGCCCCACGTGAACTGCGAACCTTAGTGTCTTCTTGGGCGCCGTAGGTGTAAGCTAGCTAGCACGGCCTTTCGTAGCACGCGCACCTCCCCTTCCTCCCCCCATCACCGTGGCCGACGAATTCTTCGACTGCTCTCGACTTGAGCACGCCTTCGACACCCAGGAGCAGGTCGACGTCTCTCGTGACGACCCAAAAAGCGACGGAGACAAAGCTCCTTTCTTCATCTGTGATCGGCAACCGTGCCCTAATCGCACCCCACGGTCCATCACTGTTGACGAAGGACACTTCGTACCAATCCGACGGGTCCAACATCCCAGCGGCCCTGCACTCCGGTACGCTGGCACCTCGAGATCTACATCTCGCCACGTCACTCCCGTCCCATCCCGACCTGCCTCGCCAGGCACCCGCATCCCCCAACCTGTCGCCAGTACAGGTCAAGCGCGAGGAGATCCCTATCTCCCTCGAGGAACTGAGGCAGTCGCACAGCCTTCAGCAACCCCTCAAGCGATCCCCCAGCCCTCCCTGGGGCTGCGGCTGGAAAGGCCTCCCAAGACCGAGCCCCGCGACACTCCGCCGCATTCTTGGGCCAGCTCGTCGTCAGCGGTCACCGCCTCGACTCCAGTCCCTGTCCTACGTCACCCCGCCTCCGGGCTTCCTCAACCGGCTTCACCGCCGTCGCCGCCGCGAGGCCGCTCAAGCACTCGTTCCTCGAGAAGTTCGCCCGGCGGCCAGTCACAACAGTCGCCTCCGTCCGCGGGCAGTCCTTCGTCCCCCTCGTCGCCGATAATGTCGTCCCCCGCAGCCGTCCTCGACAAGGAGACATTGAAACTCCTCCTCCCTCTCCGATACGATGGCAAAACCGTCATCGACTGCGACAGGTTCTTGTCGCAGCTGCGCATTTACTGGATGGTCAACACGTCGTTGACCACCATCGAGCTCAAGGTACAGGTTGCGCTGAGCCTGCTCGACGGTGATGCCCGCGCCTGGGCCACCCCCTACTTCGCCCAACTCGTATCGGTGCAGATAGGTGTGCAAGGGGCTACGACCCCATTCGCAAACGAAGCGGCCTTTGCCGCCACCTTCAAGGCCCGCTTCGGAAATCTCGACGACGAGGCGGCAGCACAAGTAGAGCTGGCAAAGCTCTGTGTGGACAAGTCGGTCCGTGAAAAACGCACCACTGCGGAGTTCTCCGTGCTATTCAAGGGTCCGGCGGACCGCTCTGGGTATGGGGACCTGGAGCTACGCGACAAGTACCTGAGCGGCATCCCCTCCCGCGTATACCAAAAGATCGAGCTCGAGACTTTCACCACGTGGCAAGACGCTGACAAGCGCGCCACTGAAGTCGAGCAGATCCTCGACATTAGCCAGGCCCGTCGGCCCGAGCTAAACAACTTCTTCTCGGCCCGAGGTCGAGGACGCGGTGGGGCATGTGGTGGTGCACCCTCAACGCACGCAGCTTCGGCCAGCATCAATGCGGCCGTCGGAAAAGGCAACTTCCCCGGCACATGCTTCGGCTATGGGAAGCAAGGGTACCGACGATTTGAGTGCCCCAATTGTAAGGACAAGCCTTACACAAAACGCGCCGATGCGCGGGCTACGGTTGCCTCGGGCTCCGCCCAGGCTGCGACAAGCGCCCCCATCACGACGACACCCTCGGCAAGTATAAGTGCCGCTTCAGCGAAATCCGAGCAATCGGAGCTGGCGGACTTAATGGCACAGGTAAAGTCGATGCGCGAAGAGCTCGAGCATTATCGGGCAATGAAGGAGGAGGGTTTTTGATCCGGTCCGCGCTTCGTGCCGCACGCGTCGGGCCGCGAGTCTTATCATGTAATAAGTATAACGTATTGTCAACTGCGATGGTGTACGAATTGGACCAGGGGTCCCAACATTTTCACATCCCAGTTCGACTTCAAGGGAAAAGACGGCACAAAGACCTAATCGCTATGGTGGACAGCGGAGCCACCACGAAGTTCATTAACAAGCGATTCATTATCGAGAATAAGGTGCAAACGCGGAAGTTGAAGGAACCAATTCCGCTGTACAACATTGACGGCACCCTGAACAAGCACGGAAGCATCTCGGAGGTAGCAGTACTACAGATGCATATAGGAGAACACGTCGAGAAGGCGGTGTTCACGGTCACGGACATCGGTCCAGAAGATGTGATCGTCGGGTTGGATTGGCTGCACGAGCACAACCCCGAAATAGATTGGGAGAAGGGCTCTCTCAAATTGTCGCGATGCCCTGAAACGTGCAGTGCCAGGAGGACTGGCCGAATGGAGCAAGCAGCGACTGCGCGTGATACGGGGGTCAGGCCCACGGTGCGCAGGCGTTCGCTGAAGTCCAAACGGTCGGTTATAGGGGCCTGCCGGAGTAAGGTACTCCCGGACTTCGAACCCGAAGAAGATCCGGTGGAGGTAGAGTGGGATGAGGCCGATTTGATCGAAGCCTGGGAGCAAGGTGTCACGCTTCCCAGCGCTCCTCAGCTGTTCGTCGCAGCAGGACATACGTACTCCCAGCTGTTTGCTGAGGAGGAGATCAAAAAGAAGGTTGTTAAGACCGCTGAAGAGTCGGTACCTAAACAGTACCACGAGTTCCTGAATGTCTTCTCCAAAGAAGCATCAGAACGGCTACCTGAAAGGAAGCCCTACGATCATGCGATCGAACTCGTGCCCGGCTACTCGACCTTCCACTCTAAAGTGTACCCCTTGTCGAACAACGAGCAGGAGGAACTAGACAAGTTCCTAAAAGAGCAACTAGCGAAAGGCTACATGCGGGAGTCGAAGTCGCCCATTTCATCCCCCTTCTTCTTCATCAAAAAAAAGGAAGGGACACTTCGACCCGTACAGGACTACCGCCGATTGAACGCGATCACGGTCAAAAACCGTTATCCCTTACCGTTGATCGCCGAGATGGTGGATAAGCTCCGCGGCGCTACGCTCTTCACAAAGTTCGACGTTAGATGGGGATACAATAACGTCCGGATCAAGGCCGGTGACGAATGGAAGGCGGCCTTTGTGACTAACCAAGGGTTGTACGAGCCCTTGGTGATGTTCTTTGGTCTCACTAATTCCCCCGCGACCTTCCAGGCCATGATGAACGAGATCTTCCACGATCTCATTGTCAGCGGCAAGATCCTTGTGTACCTGGACGATATACTCATCTTCTCCACCAATAAAGAGGAGCATGAGAAGGTCACACGCGAGGTTCTGCGCCGCCTTCAGGATAATGACCTATTCCTGAAGCCTGAAAAATGTGAATGGGATGTTCCCAAGGTCGACTACGTCGGCTATGTGTTCGGTGGCGATGAGGTGGCGATGGATCCTGCGAAACTTAAAGGTATCAATGAGTGGCCGGTGCCCCGGAACAAAAAAGACGTTCAGAAGTTCCGGGGGTTCTCCAATTTTTACCGCCGCTTCATTAAAGACTTCGCCAAGATCTCGCGACCACTCGACCGGCTCACAGGGAATGACCCATGGCATTGGGGCGAGGAAGAGCAGCATGCCTTCGATGAGCTCAAGCAGCTCTTCGCGATGACTCCAGTCTTGGCGCTGTACGACCCTAATCGGGAGACGCGCATTGAGGTTGACGCCTCGGGGTACGCCACTGGCGGCGTGTTGATGCAGAAGCAGGATGACGGCAAATGGCATCCCATCGCCTTCAGATCCCATGCGATGGATCCGGCACAGCGGAACTACGAGATCTACGATAAGGAGATGCTCGCGATCATTGAGGCACTAGACGATTGGCGCCATTATCTCGAGGGTCTGCCCAATCAGTTCGAGATCGTCACTGATCACAAGAACCTCGAATACTGGCGCACGTCCCAGCACCTCACGCGTCGTCAAGCGCGATGGTCACTGTTCCTAGCACGCTTCGACTTCCGCATCACGCATAAAGCCGGGACATCCAATGGAAAGGCTGATGCCCTGTCACGTCGATCAGACCACCAGATTGGCGATGAGGACGATAACACCGATCAGGTGGTTCTCAAGCCAGAGCGCTTCCGCATCGCCTCCGCTAGGCGCGGTCACGCCTCGGTGACGGCCGATCAGTCGCTTCTGAAGCGCATCAGGGAATGTTCGGATAAGGATCGGGAGGTGGCCGAGGCCCTTGAGAAGGTGCAGGACCTCGGGCCGCCCCGGCTGCAAAGGGGCTTTGAGGAGTGGAATGCCGAACAAGGGCTTCTGTTGTTCCGCGGATGCGTGTACGTCCCAAAGAACGCAGAGCTCCGGCGGGATATAGTCAAGATCCACCACGACTCGCCGATCGCCGGTCATGGCGGTTGTGCCAAAACCCTGGAGCTCGTATCACGGAACTACTGGTGGCCAGGAATGTCTAAATTCGTCAATGAGTACGTAAGCACCTGCGACGTGTGCAACCGTACCAAGACATTCCCAGCCAGGCCCCAGGGTCCGCTAAAGCCGAATGAGATCCCCGAGCGCCCGTGGCAGATCATCACGACCGATATGATCGTTGGCTTGCCAAAGTCTGATGGATTCGACTCGATCCTGGTCACCGCCGACCGCTTCACCAAGCAGGTCCACTTCTCCGCCTGTCATGAAACCCTGACGGCAGAAGGTGCGGCAGATCTGTACATCCGTGATGTGTTCAAGCATCATGGGGCCCCGGCCAAGGTCATATCAGACCGAGGACCCCAGTTTGCTTCGAAGTATCTCCATGCGGTGTACAAGGGTCTGGGAATCGAGCCGGCGCTGTCCACAGCATTCCACCCTCAGACAGACGGCCAGACCGAGCGCTGGAATCAGGAGATCGAACAGTACCTGCGTGCGTTCACCAGCCACAGGCAGGATGATTGGGCGAAGCAGTTACCGCTCGTGGAATTCGCACTGAACAACCGAGTTCACTCCGCGACCGGGCACTCCCCATTCTTCCTGCATCAAGGGTACAATCCTGAGATCCAGGTTCGGATCAATCCGATGTCCGCGATGCCCGCTGCCGCCGACCGGCTTAAGATTCTGAAGGAGATTCGCGATGACACGCGCTCTGCGCTCGAGCTGTCAGCCGAGCGTATGAAAGTGTACTACGATAAGCACGTGCAAAAGGCACCGGTCTTCGCGCCGGGGGACAAGGTCTGGCTTGATGCCCGAAACCTTAAGCTGAAACAGCCGAGCAAGAAGCTCAGTCCCAAGCGCCTCAGACCATATGCCGTGCGGCGGAAGCTCGGAGACCTGGATTACGAATTAATCCTGCCGAAGTCGGTGCCAGTGCACCCGGTATTCCATGTCTCCTTGCTGAGCAAGTACACGCATAGCGATATCCCGGGCCGGGAGCCGGAGGAGCCACCTGCGATCGAGGTTGAGGGCGACGAGGAGTACGAGGTTGAGCGGATCAAAGACTCAAGGATCTTCCGGCGTCAGCTGCAGTACCTCGTCAAGTGGAAGGGTTATGACGACTCACATACATCATGGGAACCGGCGCGTAACGTTGCCAATGCGCCGGCCCTCATAGCCGACTTCCACCGAAAGAATCCGAACGCTCCTCGCCGCCTCAATGCCACTGTCTTTGGTGGTCTCAACTTCCAGCCAATGCCTTCGCCGCTGACTGAAGCACGCTGCCGCTCCAGGTGGGAGATGGGCAAGGGCGCCTCGCATGAGGTCATGCGCCGTTGAGGGGGGGGTAATGTCACGAGTTGGTACGGCGTCTAGCCGTTTTTTAATTTTTTCCTTTGTGCAGGCTCGAACCCGCGACCTCTGTACTACCTGCCTGATACGGACGCGTCGTTATCTACTGTACGATTAGATTAGATAGGACGGCAGTGCGCGGCACAGCTCGGGCTCCGCTGACACAGCCGCTCTGACTCACCAGCCCCCGTGGCCGCATCGGCATGCTGTGCACGGACCAGCTGCGCACGGACCAACGCGCACAGCCTGCCCTTATCTCCCTCTGTATATAAGCCGGCCTCTGCTGCCCTAGGGACCTCAGTTTCGACCTCTTGTCCCTAGGTCAGTAAGCCCATCCTGTATTCTCTTTCTTACTTAACTAACTAATACATTTCTTGTCCCTAGCCTTAGGTTTGAGCCTCGCTCACCATCGCTTCGGTGAGAACCAGTCGGACGCCCCTCGCTTCTAGATATTTCCCTGTCGCTTGACCTCAAGTCGCGACACAGTCCTAGCGCTGTACGATCCTAATCGGGAGACGCGCATTGAGGTTGATGCCTCGGGCTATGCCACGGGCGGCGTGTTGATGGAGAAGCAGGATGATGGCAAATGGTATCCCATCGCCTTCAGATCCCATGCTATGGACCCGGCGCAGCGGAACTACGAGATCTACGATAAGGAGATGCTTGCCATCATTGAGGCGCTAGACGATTGGCGCCACTATCTCGAGGGGTTACCCAATCAGTTCGAGATCGTAACCGATCATAAGAACCTCGAGTACTGGCGTACATCTCAGCATCTCACGCGTCGTCAAGCACAATGGTCGCTGTTCCTGGCTCGCTTCGACTTCCGCATCACGCACAAAGCCGGGACGTCCAATGGAAAGGCTGATGCCCTGTCACGCCGATCAGACCATCAGATCGGCGATGAGGATGATAACACCGACCAGGTAGTTCTCAAACCGGAAAGATTTCGCATCGCCTCTACCAGACGCGGCCATGCTTCGGTGACAGCTGATCAGTTGCTTCTGAAGCGCATCCGGGAATGTTCGGAAAGGGATCAGGAGGTGGCTGAAGCACTTGAAAAGGTGCAGGACCTCGGGCCGCCCCGGCTGCAAAGGGGTTTTGAGGAGTGGAATGCCAAACAAGGGCTTCTGCTGTTCCGCGGGTGCGTGTATGTCCCAAAGAACGCGGAGCTCCGGCGGGATATAGTCAAGATCCACCACGACTTGCCGATCGCCGGTCATGGCGGCCGTGCCAAAACCCTGGAGCTCGTGTCGCGGAATTACTGGTGGCCTGGGATGTCCAAATTCGTCAATGAGTACGTAAGCACCTGTGACGTGTGCAACCGTACCAAGACATTCCCAGCCAAGCCCCAGGGTCCGCTGAAGCCGAACGAGATCCCCGAGCGCCCGTGGCAGATCATCACAACCGATATGATTGTCGGCTTGCCGAAGTCTGATGGGTTTGACTCGATCCTGGTCACCGCCGACCGCTTTACCAAGCAGGTCCACTTCTCAGCCTGTCATGAGACCCTGACGGCAGAAGGGGCGGCAGACTTGTACATCCGCGATGTGTTCAAGCATCATGGGGCCCCGGCCAAGGTCATATCAGACCGAGGACCCCAGTTTGCTTCGAAGTATCTCCATGCGGTGTACAAGGGTCTGGGAATCGAGCCGGCGCTGTCCACAGCGTTCCACCCTCAGACAGACGGCCAGACTGAGCGCTGGAATCAGGAGATTGAGCAGTACCTGCATGCTTTCACAAGCCACAGGCAGGATGATTGGGCGAAGCAGTTGCCGCTCGCGGAGTTCGCACTGAACAACCGAGTTCACTCCGCGACCGGGCACTCCCCTTTCTTCCTGCATCAAGGGTACAATCCTGAGATCCAAGTGCGGATCAATCCGATGTCCGCGATGCCCGCTGCCGCCGACCGGCTTAAGATTCTGAAGGAGATTCGCGATGACACGCGCTCTGCGCTCGAGCTGTCAGCCGAGCGTATGAAAGTGTACTACGATAAGCACGTGCAAAAGGCACCGGTCTTCGCGCCGGGGGACAAGGTCTGGCTTGATGCCCGGAACCTTAAGCTGAAACAGCCAAGCAAGAAGCTCAGTCCCAAGCGCCTTGGACCATATGCCGTGCGGCAAAAGCTCGGAGACTTGGATTATGAATTAGTCCTGCCGAAGTCGGTACCGGTGCACCCGGTATTCCATGTCTCCTTGCTTAGCAAGTACACACATAGCGATATCCCGGGCCGAGAGCCGGAGGAGCCGCCTGCGATTGAGGTTGAGGGCGACGAGGAGTACGAGGTTGAGCGGATCAAGGATTCGCGGATCTTCCGGCGTCAGCTGCAGTACCTCGTCAAGTGGAAGGGGTATGACGACTCGCATACATCATGGGAACCGGCGCGCAACGTTGCCAATGCGCCGGCCCTCATAGCCGACTTCCACCGGAAGAATCCAAACGCCCCTCGCCGCCTCAACGCTGCTACCTTTGGTGGTCTCAACTTCCAGCCAATGCCTTCGCCGCTGACAGAAGCATGCTGCCACTCCGGGTGGAAGATGGGCAAGGGTGCCTCGCATGAGGTCATCCACCATTGAGGGGGGGTAATGTCATGAGTTGGCACAGTGTCTAGCCGTTTTTTATTTTTTCCCCTTTCGTGGGCTCGAACCCACGACCTCTGTACTACATGCCTGATACGGACACATCATATCTACTGTACGATTAGATTAGATAGGACGGCAGTGCGCGGCACAGCTTGGGCTCCGCTGACACAGCTGCTCTGACTCACCGGCCCCCGTGGCCGCATCGGCATGCTGTGCACGGACCAGCTGCGCACAGACCAGTGCACATAGCCTGCCCTTATCTTCCCCTGTATATAAGCCGGCCTCTGCTGCCCTAGGGACCTCAGTTTTGACCTCTTGTCCCTAGGTCAGTAAGCCCTCCTTTGTATCTTTTCTTTACTTCACTAACTAATATATTATCTTGTCCCTAGCCTTAGGTGTGAGCGCTGCTCACCATCGCTTTGGTGAGAATCAGTTGGACGCCCCCAGCCTTTAGGTTTTCTCCAGTCGCTTGACCTCCAGTCACGACACGTACTCATTGACGAATTTGGACATCCCAGGCCACCAGTAATTCTGCGACACGAGCTCCAGGGTTTTGGCACGGCCGCCATGTCCGGCGATCAGCGAGTCGTGGTGGATCTTGACAATATCCTGCCGGAGCTCCATGTTCTTTGGGACATAGACCATCCCGCGAAACAGCAGGAGCCCTTGTTCAGCATTCCATTCCTCAAAGCCCTTCTGCAGCCAAGGCGGCCTGAGGTCCTGCACCTTTTCAAGTGCCTCAGCCACTACGCGGTCTTTCTCCAAACATTCCCAGATGCGCTTCAGAAGCGACTGATTGGCTGTCACCAAGGCATGGCTGCGCCTAGTGGAGGCGATGCGGAATCTCTCCGGCTTGAGAACCACCTGATTGGTGTTATCGTCCTCATCGCTGATTTGATGATCTGAGCGGCGTGACAGGGCATTAGCCTTTCCATTGGATGTCCCGGCCTTATGCATGATGCGGAAGTCGAAGCACGCTAGGAACAGCGACCATCGTGCTTGATGACACGTGAGATGCTGGGATGTATGCCAGTACTCGAGGTTCTTATGATCGGTTACGATCTCAAACTGATTGGGAAACCCCTCAAGATAGTGGTGCCAATCATCTAGTGCCTCAATGATCGCAGGCATCTCCTTATTGTAGATCTCATAGTTACGCTGGGCAGGGCCCATAGCTTGAGACCAAAAGGCAATAGGATGCCATTTGCCATTGTCCTGCTTCTGCATCAATATGCCACCGATGGCGTAGCCTGAGGCATCAACCTCAATGCGTGTCTCCCGGTTAAGGTCGTACAACATCAACACTGGGGTCGTCACAAAGAGCCGCTTGAGCTCATTGAAGGCGTGCTGCTCCTCTTTGCCCCAATGCCATGGGTTGTTCCCTGTGAGCCGGTCGAATGGTCACGAGATCTTAGCGAAGTCCTTAATGAAGCGGCGGTAGAAGTTGGAAAACCCCCAGAACTTCTGAACATCTTTTTTGTTCCGGGGTACCGGCCACTCATTGATTCCTTTCAACTTCGTGGGATCCATCACCACCTCATTGCCACCGAACACATAGCCGATGTAGTCGACCTTAGGAACGTTCCATTTGCACTTCTCAGGCTTCAGGAATGGATCATTATCCTGTAGGCATTGAAGAACCTCGCGTGTGACCTTATCATACTCCTCCGGATTGGTGGAGAAGATGAGTATGTCATCCAGGTACACAAGGACCTTTCTGCCAATGATAAGATCATGGAAGATGTCATTCATCATTGCCTGGAAAGTTGCGGGGGAATTGGTGAGGCCGAAGAACATCACCAGGGGTTTGTACAGCCCCCGGTTAGTCACAAAAGCGGCTTTCCACTCATCACCGGCTTTGATCCGGACGTTGTTATAGCCCCATCTGACATCGAACTTGGTGAAGAGCATGGCGCCACGGAGTTTGTCTACCATTTCGGCGATCAGCGGCAAGGGGTAACAATTTTTGACCGTGATTGTGTTCAACTGGCAGTAGTCCTGTATAGGTCGAAGTGTCCCTTCCTTCTTTTTGATGAAAAAGAAAGGGGACAAGATGGGTGACTTTGATTCCCGTATGTAGCCCTTTGCCAGTTGCTTCTTGAGGAACGTGTCAAGCTCCTCCTGCTCATTGTTCGACAGGGGGTACACCTTCGAGTGGAACATCGAATAGCCGGGCACGAGCTCGATTGCATGATCATAAGGCTTCCTTTTGGGTAGCCGTTCTGATGCTTCCTTTGAGAAGACCTTCAGAAACTCACAGTACTGTTTGGGCACCAACTCCTCAGCAGTCTTAACAACCTTCTTGATCTCCTCCTCAGTGAACAGTTGGGAGCACGTATGCCCAGCTGCGACGAACAGCTGAGGAGTGCCGGGAAGTGTAATGCCTTGCTCCCAGGCCTCGATCAAGTCGGCTTCGTCCCATTTGACATCTACCGGATCTTCTTTGGGTTCGAAGTCTGGGAGTACCTTACTCCGGCAAGTGCCTATAACTGACCGTTTGAACTTCGGCAAACGCCTGTGCGCCATGGGCCTGACCCCCATATCACGCGCAGTCGCTGCTTGCTCCATTCGGCCAGTCCTCCTGGCACTGCACATTTTAGGGCATCACGACAATTTGAGGGAGCCCAACTCCCAATCGATTCCGGGGTTGTGCTCATGCAGCCAATCCAACCCGACAATCACATCTTCTGGACTGATGTCTGTGACCGTTGATACGACCTACGAAACCCTAACCCCTAACCTGGGTGCGACCTAAAGGGACTAGAGAGACGGATTATAGTCTAATGAGAGGGGAGTTAGCAGCAAGGTGTCCCGCGGTTCGAGTGAACACGAGAAACGCCCTTGGGAAAAGTTACGAACAAACGGGTAGGTACGAGGTGGCTTCGACACGTCGTCGAAGCT